ATGAATTTATAAACAAACAAGAGGAATCACGGCGTGACGATTAATAAACAGATGAAAGTACATTCCCGGACTTTTCTGATCGTAGGAGCACATTTGCTTGCAATTGGGAAGCCCTATCTAGAAGTTACACCTTTCAAACACCTGCGTGAAAGCCCCATGGCGCATTGGGATATGTGATGCCAATTGGCGCCCAATGGCCTATTACCTGATATGCTTGACGAAAACATGTGTTTCAGAAGCATACCAAAGTCTTCGAGCCAACTGGAGGTTTCCTGGCCTCGGAGGGGTTGATTTTTCGGTGTCGTGGGGGTGATTACAAAATGATCACAACGGGGAATTTTTTCGAATAGTAGGTCTAGGAAGGAAATTAAAACCTTGCTGGAAAGTAGAAATCTCTTCAAGCTATCGAGGCAGGCAGTTCTTCTACATTATTTTAGCGAAAGGTTGTGTATTGAAGCTTGCCATGAGATGTCCCAAAGCGTGCGGACTACGCGTTTCGCTAAAAAATGATGACACAGGCAATGAGACTCACAAAGATGATCACAACGGGGAAAATCTCTGGAACCGGAACGTTTTTGAAATCGCTCAATTCAGATGATAAGAGCCAACCTAGCTCTACTCACTCCCAAACTTAGCTCACTAACTCGGCGATAGCTTCACTTCAACGAAGTATGGGTGTTCAAATCAGGGTACTTGTTACCACCTTGTATGCTGTTTGGACTTGAAATATGCTCAACCCGTGAAAATAGCGCGCACCAATTGCGCTTGTATGAGCGGCGGCTGGACCGCGAACACCAAAATTCAAAAGATAATGCCATAGATTCCGAGCTTCCCGCCAGCCTGGAAGTGGTTTTGAGTTTTTTCTTATCGTTATTATTGTGAATTATATTGATTGTCTTGTTTTTTGTCTGAATTTGATTTTGTTTTGTGTACGTTTGGATTATTGGTTCGTGAGGAAAATTGGCTCAAGGATTGCCTTTCTACGGTTTCATAGGTAGCTTTTGCAATGGATTCTTTTCTAGATTTTGCGGATTAGTGGATTGGGATTTATCTAGACCAGATGAGGAGGGTTGGTGGGCGAAGTGTCTTGAAGTTTTTTGTGAGGAAGGAGGAAAAAGTTTCAGCAATATTTTTTTAGTTTTTGGCCTAGGAATAGTTCGATAGTGCCTAGTTCTATTTATTGTCATCTACATCGTCCCTTTTGAGCTTCTTTTTACTTGTACCGTGTATCACCGCTCTCTCTCCACTTCAACATGGGCCATGCGTTCACGCTGACGCGGCCCACCCCGCCCGTTCGATCGCGGGCAATACGACGCGCGCCTTGTTGTGATGATCTACAGATGGGTGCTCGTGGCCACGTTCTGGGTGGACTGTAGACCGGGCTCACTTGTTCGAAAAAAGTGTTTCCACCTTTCGTAGCCATGAAATGAACTTTTGATGGATTTCATAGAGGTCAAAGCCATGTTGACATCAGCGGTGGGGACTGGGCGGCTCAAGATGTTATGATAGCGAAGCCTTTGGGCATTCTGCTACACGATTCTGACCGAGAATAAGTACCTTTGAGAGAAGGAAATTAAAAAAAAACGTATATTATAGGTGCCGGAAAAAGCCTGTGCTATCAACTACCAGCTGTTCTGTCGCCTGGAGTAACAATCGTGGTATCGCCCTCTGAAGTCACTTATCGAAGACCAGCGATCGAAAATGCGAGATCTCGGGGTGTGGTTTGGTTTTCGTTAGATGGCAGTATGGCCTCAGCCTCTTGGCTCTTGAAAGGCGCATGGAAACTACACGACTCGGGACGCGTGCGGTCGCGAAGCAGTTGCCGTTTGCTTGTGACTATTGGCTAGTATTTGCTGCCTTCTTTGAGTGCTGCAGCTTAGTTTTCAAATATTTCATCTCGTTTCGAGGTGACCGACATTGGAAGGAAGACAAGATGGTCTGAGTAAGCAGTGCTGAGGCATTACACAGTCTTGGTCGCTGCGAACGCTGGGATGCTTCGGGAAGGCTGGGATTGGCGCGGCGCCAGCCTGCTTTCTGCTGAGTGTGGTCGCCTGCCAGCTTCCATATTGGTGGGATTCATGCTGCCGCCGTGGGAAACCCAGCGCCCCGAAACGCCCCAGCGTCCGCAGCGAACAGTACTGCAAGATTTGCTTGTTGATTCAAGATTCAAGAGCGCTGTTGCATTGGAAATCGTAACTGGCCGCCTCGCGACCGCACGCGTCGTACACTTGTACCTCTCTGATATCAGATATAAGATTGAATTTCGGACGATTGAACTGTTTCAAACGAAAGTTTTCAGATTCCTTGTGAAGCGTTGACATCGGACTTGAATGAAGACAAACAACAAGTGATCTACAATCGGTTGATGTGCTCCCCACCTGATATCAAACTGTTGTATGTTACACCTGAGAAAGTGAGACCTCGCTATTTTTCTTTTCAAAAATAAGCACCCTTTTATTTGCCCCTCAA